CCCGGGCCGGTGCTGCCGTTGTTATGAATGCCCCCCCGTGTGGAGCCGCTCGACCCACCCCGTCGCGATGGCCTGGGCCCCGCAGCGGGGGGGATGGGGTCTCCGGCCCGACCGGACCCGCAGGGTCCGTAGGGTGCGGGCCTCAAGACGGAACCCTCCGGAGCTCGCGTGTCCCTCGGGTCCCTCGCCGTCCCTGGCGCATGTCGCCGCCGTGGTCGCCGCTAGCTGTCACCTGCGGGGCCGGGAGCCCCTGCAGGTAGGCACGCCCGCGGTGCTCGCCAGCACCGCGGGTCTGCGTGCCCCAAGGCGCCCGAGGCCCCGGTCGCTCTGGCGCAGCAGTGAGCAGCGAGCCCGGCTCGGGTCCGACCCGCCAGACCACACCACGGCCCTCGTGGCCAGAGGACCGCCGCGCCGTCCCCTCCAAATGGCAAGCGGGCGGTAGCGGCGGGAGGCTAATGGCTACGGCTGAGGAGGGACGGCCGTGCGGGCGGAGCGAGAGGTGCAAAGGCGAGCCCCCGCGTAGGGACTAACTGGGTCGGGTCGCTCCCTCAGCGCGGTGCTCAAAAATTGAGAGTAGACCGCGTGGTGGTCGTGCTTTGCTCTTTGCATCGTCCCCCGCTCCCTCTGGGGGAAGGGCGAGGGGAAGGGGCGCTTAGGAGTTCACACGGCCGTTTCGAGGCAGCACTGCAGGTAATTTGGGGCGTGGGACCGGCAGGCGCGGCGCTGTCGCCCGCCAGCTTGTGGTCCGACGAGAGAAACGCCCCGCCCCGCTCCCCGCTCTCCTGCACGGCACGGCGCTGCTATACCTCCCAGCCCAGGCCTTTCCAGCAAGCTTCGGGAGGGAGGCCCTTGGGAGCACCACCACCACCACCGTCACGGTGGGAGGGGTGAGTGGCTGCGCCCCCGCCCCCCATCCTCCCCCGGACGCCCACGCCGCGCCCGGACGGGAAGGGGAGGGGGCAAACGTCGATACCACCCGCGCGGCGCCCGGCCCCTCGCCTGGACCGAGCCGAGCAGGGGGGTGTGGTGGTGGGGCTGCCACCGTGAGCTCCCCGGCCAGCTCGAACAGCGGCAGCGGCGGCAGTGTTACACTCTGATCATGATGAGCGCTCAGGAAAGTGTCGCGTCAGGCCGTTATGGCGTCGCCTAGTCCCATGAGCGATGAGTAATGGCCGAGGCTGTAGAGGGGAGGAAGGCTTTGCTTTCAGGACGCACTGTCTTTTGGGTACTACAAGAACGTCGCACGGAGTTTGACTCTCTATCTGGTTGTTTCCCGATATGCTGTGGTGCGGTGTTGTTTCTAGGGGACCTTAATAAATTCTGAGGTAATTTCAAGATTTTAGTACTTATGTACATTTATTTCTTGTTTTCTGTATTCAGACATATATAAAGCATTTTCACAAGTAGATACCAAATATGAAATTAATGAGGTGGCAATGGAAGTAATAAAATGATGGCAAAGAAATGCTAACCATCTTCATGATCAATAGGAATTTCAATAGCTGCTATTAACTGATTATTTAACAGCAGTACAATGGTATCAGGAAACAAGGGAACAAGAATGTAACAAAATCCAGCTCACTTACACTACTACCACATCCATTGCATTTTGTTTTTCATACATCCCCTCTGCAAACAGACAAAGTTAATGCATATAACTTTCTCATTAAAAACAATCATAATAAATACAATGATCAGCATTAAGTTCTCTTTTTTACAAATAACACAGATGTTTGACAATGTATGGGATGAGCTTTACAATAGTACAATAACTGCTTCATTTGGAAACGAACCCTAAAAGAAGTTGTACCATACTCTATTGATACTGTTACTTTGCCAGTTAACATATCTACTAATATCAATTTCAGTACGCATCCCTGGTTTAGATGGACTCTCTGTACAAGTAGAAACACACACTCACATACTCTCTATTTCTCCCACCCACATCCACTCATCACATGCTCACAGGCCACTCTCTCCTTTACACATCATACATTCTGTTTGATTCAATGGTAAGCAACATTGTACAAAGTGACATGGCTCCAGTAAAAAAAAAGGCTTGTGGTAAAAGTACTCTGGGTATCAGCGTGTAGTCGTCTGACAGCACAGATAAAAAATAAACTACATGTCACATTTGTTTCTGTCAATCTTTATTTAGCACAAATTTGCAAGTGGCAAGTTGATCTTTTATTTAAATATTTTTACAAGTTGTACGTCAACTGGAAATAAAAAATTGACATGCACTTCAGACTGGACTTCAGTCAAGTTGATGGTTATTTACATTCATGCATACAAAAAAAAACATTACCAGGGAAATGTTCACAATATCAACGTGTAACAGTTCTGGTAAGTCACAACAAAGTTTTTACTATTACAAAAAGGGCAAGGCAGCATTTCACTAGTGCAAACACTGACTGACAGCCACCAACTCACATTAAGTATGGTTTAATTAAAATCACAAGACCACTGTAGTGGCACCTCTCTAAACAGACTGCTCCAGATAAAGATTCTATTAATTACGAATTCTTATGTACACAACCCCCCTGCAGCAACGTACTGCTCTCAACATCACAGGCAAGGGATCCCCTCTCTCATTTAATAGATACTACAAGTCAAGTCCTAGGAGGACAGAAGTACATCAACATGTACACTACAGACCCGCCCGGCACCCCTATGACGACGCGGAGGCGGCCGCGGGGGCGAGCGTGGGTGCCGGGGCAGCGGGCGGGGGCCGCGCTGGGGCGGGGGTGCGGGAGCACTGGAATAGCACGCTGCTGACGACGGCCGCCACCTGCTGGTCCAGGATCTGGCTCATGACGAGCGCGAGGAGGCGCTGCTCCTGCTGCAGGAACAGCGGCCGGTTGTCCGGGTGGCGCGCGAGGTGCAGCAGGGTGCCCGCGGCGCGCCGCAGCATGTCCAGGCTGGTGCCCATGGCGTCCGGGTTGTCGCGCAGCGCGGTGATGCCGTGGGTGTTGGCCACGCCCAGCGCGCTCTGCTCGGCCTGCTCGATGAAGGCGACCAGCTGCGACACACACGCGCCCTGCATGGCCACAGTGCGCGCCATGCCGGTGTCGGCGGCCGCCAGGTAGTGCAGCAGGTTGACGGCAAACTCGCGCAGCACCTGCTCTTCGCTGCGGCAGAGCAGCTTGGTGAGCACGGCGCACAGCCGCTCGAGCCGCGAGTAGGGCGGCGTCGCGATCACCAGGTCCACGTTGGCCTCCATGACGCACAGCTTGCACAGCGCCTCGAGCGCGAGCCGCTGCGGCGACAGCGACGAGTTGGGCCCCACGGTGGGGAAGGGGTCCTGGCCGTGGGCGGCGGGACACACTGCCCAGTGCAGCAGCCCGTCGAGCAGCGGCCGCGACACCTCCTCCGGGTACTGGCCCAGGTCCACCTGGCCGGCGATGTTGGCCATCGTCACGAGCACGTTCTCGCGCAGCTGGAAGAGGAAGTCCCACCACCACTCGGCGTCGCCCGCCAGGCTGCTGCAGCTGTCGGTGCAGTCGGCGTCCTCCTCGCGCTCGTAGTTGCGCTGCGTGCGCAGCGGGTGCTCGTGGTGGATCAGCATCAGCTTGCCGAGCAGCCCGAGGAAGGTCGGGTTTTTGGCGAACTCCATTTCGTTGCCTGGGATGAAGGACAGGTTGCGCAGGATGTTGGAGAGGCAGACGCAGCGGCGCGCCACGGCGTCCTGTGTATCCGTCACCAGGTACAGACTCGCCTCGTCGCGCGTGTAGCACTCGTCCTCGTAGTCCGACATGCGGCGCCGCTTCACCACCGTCTCGGGGTCCTGTATTCTGAGGTAGGGCCTCTCCACCAACTCCTCGGCGGGTGCGGTGGCCTCGGCCACCGGCTCCTTCTCACTCGCCGTGGTCTTGCTGGCTCCCTCCGCAGTTGCCTCGGTAGTCTTTGTGACTTCATCATCTACTTCCATTGGCTCTACTTTCACCTCCGTTACCGTTACGCTCTTATCAGACTTATTCTCAGATTTCCCTGCTGCTTCGTCAGGTTTTGAAGAATCACTAATATGATTTTCCTCTATCACCATCTTTGAGTCCTTGGACAAGGCATTACTATTTTCACTCCTATTACTATTTGCTTTCCCTACTACACCCAGATCTTCTTTCTTGACCTGCACATCCCCATCCTCATTTACACTAGAACTGAGGTCCCTGCTCAACGCATCCTTTGTGGCACTAAGCATCTCCTCCTCTTTTTCTTTCTTTATTCTATTTAACACATCACTCAAACTTTTTGTCCTTTTCTTTTTCTCACAGTTTTTCTTTTCACTTGAATTCTCACTAACACAGCCTTCGGGAGTAGAAAGTTGAACAACTTCTTCTTTACACGCTGGAGCACAGTCCACACTCACACTGTTCTGAGGTTCAGTCTTAGGTGAATTCGGCCGATCCTGGCCTGTGCTCTTCTTGTCAGGGATTAACCTTGCAAAAGGTACAATGTTGAACTCTCCCTGGAAACAGGGCACAATATATTTGGTAGCAAGAGCCTCAACGGTTGCATCGCTTTCAGCCATGGCGTCAGAGGCCTCGCCTTCCACATCCCAGGTTTTCTTGGAGTCCAAAATAAACACATCACTATCCCTGTTGACAATCTTGACAGGTTTACCCTTGCGAGTAACAAGAGTGTAATTTGGCATTTTGCTAGATAAAATTTGGGTTTTATCATTGGGATTAATGGGCTCAACCACACTACCAAGGTCAATTTCTTCTTCCTCCTTGAGGGGTGGGGTCTTTCCATACCATTTTCTGTAAGGCAAAGAAAGCAGTGTTAGATTGAATAAGCTAAGAGCATGGAAATAAAATAATTTGTGATAAGTCTAGCAGAAATCAGATCACATACCTAGTTGTTTGTCCTGCTGATTCAAACATGTCATCTAAAGCTTTACGGAAGTGCTCTAAAAGAACATCCAGGAGGCCTGGCATATGTTGTAGACCAAAGTATGCAACAGACACATCATCAAATAGAAGAATATTTAATGTATCCAGGGCCCAGCAGCTCTCTGCTAACAAGCCAGATCTGAGGCTCATCATTAGACGCCATGCCTCTACAGGGCAAACATCTGCTCTGGTCAGTCGTCTACGTTTGTATAGAATTGGTGTTGTTGCTTCCACACTATCGAGAGGGAAAGCAGAGTCAGCCTTCAGGCGCCCCATGGCAACCTGAAGAGGTGATTGTGATGGCTGGGGCATCTGATAAAATTTAAAAGTTTATTAGAATGTATAGCAGAACAGGACAAAAAAGTGAATGTGTGACAGGTGCAAAAAATGAACCTTAACCAGGATTAATAACTAACCTTAACACCAGGAGTTACACCAGGAATTTGTGGTCTGGGCTTGCCATCGGGTCTGTATTGTGCATGAGGTCCTAATGGTGGCCTCAACGGTGAACTTTGACCTACACCTGAAGGAGGCATGTTGGGTCCCCAAGGCTGTTGAGACTGCAAAATTTCCAAAGTCAGTCAATGAAAAACATTAAACAACTTAGTTTTAACTGTCAATAACTAACGAGCAGCTTACATTTTGAGGTGGTTGGTGTGGTGGCTGGTAGGGTGATTGTGGCCATGGCCCCGAACTAGCCTGGCTGTTTGGAGGAGCACCCGGTCTGGGCGATTGACTCCACTGTTGTGAGTTGGGTTGTGCACCTCCCTGGGGAGGGTACTGGCCTCGGTACTGGGAGTTGTTAGGCCACCCAGCTTAAACAGATAGAAAAGATACATTAATTTTCCAC